TTCTTTTTTTTTTTTAATACTTTTTATTGCTTTTCTTCCTACACACTACAAAGACTATATACCCTACAAAACTAAAACTACAATGAGAGCAACAAGAACCTCTGATAGGCTAATCAAATGCTTTAAGTATATGTCTACATGCTAAAAATTGCACTCAATTCTTTAAAATCTAATAAAAGTGTTCAAAAAGAAAAAACATAAAGACATTTTTGATCATTACATCACATCTGTTAACATTTAAGAAAAGCCAGGATCCTGAGGATGGCGACTCAGCTACTCTTCTCTCCCGGAGTCTCTTCTCTCTCTTGAGTCACAGGTGTTCTTATGCCCGCAATCACCCTCAGCCTAGTAACCCTTTCGCCAAGAGAAAGCTGTTACCGGGATAGATCTCTACATTGCAAGCTGTCGGCCACTTTAGATGACAGTCCATCACTTCTGCCAGCCTAAGCAACAATTCTGATTACAAGCCAGCAGGTGGGGAGGCGATGACTTCTGTAGTCAAGAAAGCTTACACTTAGGCAGGAAAACTCTCTTAACAGAGACCAGTTTCTTGACACAGAGTTAGAAGGGATCCTAGAGGTCACCTACTCAAACCCCCTTGCTCAGTGCGGGAAGTGGTCATCTACAGCATTCCACTCTGCTTAAAGAAGAAGAAGCAATTGGATTTATACCATCCCACTCTGCTTAAAAGAGCGCACACCTTTTTAAAAAGTTTTTAAATAATTTTAAAAGCATTTACAGGATAAATTTTTGTGGGGCTGTGCCTTTAAGAAAGGGGGCAGAGCCCCCCATAGCCACACTGTCTTCAAGGCCTGGGTTGTTTCTTCCCCCTACTGGAAGCCAGGTGCAAGATGCCCTGGTTTATCCATGTTTGGGATAGCTCAATTAACCATTCTTTGACTGGCAGCCACCATTTAGGGTATAAGGTGTGTAGTTTTAGTTATGTACTTTTGATCTCGAGGCCTGGCTAAGTTGTTGAGCCTTAGCCGGCATCTTCTGTAACTCTGATGCGTTACTAAAGATCTCCTTGTAAGTAAACCTGGATATGTCGTATCGTTTCTTTGGGAATTTCTGAGGATCTATGGAGTCCCTGGCCAGGGTTGACAACACTGAGCTAGGAAAATACTCCCAAACTCCTCCTGGGCCCAGTTTCCATTAAAGAAACCCCCAGAAGGCCCTGACCTGGACAGGCCAGGACAAGCCAGCCCGATCTCGTCAGATCTCAGAAGCCAAGCAGGGTCGACTTGGATGGGAGACCTCCTTGGAATACCAGCAGTTCGGAGGTGGGGGCAGGCTTTATTCAGCCGCCTCTCTGAGTATCCTCCAGGCCCCCGGTAGGGGTCAGTCACCAGAGGTTGCGAAGGAGGACGAGATTGGATTTATACCCTGCCCTTTACTCGGGAGTCTCAGAGCGGCTTCCAATCCCTTCCCTTCCCCGCAACAGACACCCTGTGAGGTAGGTGGGGCTGAGAGAGCTCTGAGAGAACTGCCCTTGAGAGAACAGCTCTGAAAGGACTTGGAAGTGACCCAAGGTCACACCAGCAGCTGCATGTGGAGAAGTGGGGAATCAAACCCGGTTCTCCCCGATTAAGAGTCCGCGCTCTACACCAAACTGGCTCTCTGACTTCCAGGTGCACACACACACACACACAATTAAAAAAAGAGAAAAAGCCCAGAAGATCTGCTCACCGCGGACGTTCCAGATACTCCCTAGCATGGTCTCCTGCCCCTTACCTCTCCGGGCTGGATGTCCTCTAAGGCCGTCAGGTGGAGCGTGAAATTGTTATCTGGGAAGGAGGCCTCGGCGTTGGGAATGCAGCTGTGGTTGCCTGCAAGAAAAGAACCAGGGGGCCGGTCTCATGGCCTGGTTCAAGGAGCTAGTCCTGTCCGATCACTTCCCCGCGGGGGGGGGTTCCTGGACAGGGTATTTCTTTCTCTTTACTTACAACAGCTCTGCAGCACGAAGAGGCCGGACCCTTCGCAGTTGAGGAATTCCCCCGTCTCTAAATTGAAAAAAGAGAAGAAGAAGAAAAGAAGAGATTGGATTTATACCCCGCCCTTCACTTGGAGTCTCAGAGCGGCTTACAAACCCCTTTCCCTTCTCCTCCCCACGACAGACACCCTGTGAGGTGGGTGGGGCTGAGAGAGCTCTGACACAAACTGCTCTTTTTCAAGGACAGCTGTGCCAGAGCTTGTGACTGACCCAAGGTCACATCAGCAGGTGCAAGTGGAGGAGTGGGGAATCAAACCCAGTTCTCCCACATTAGAGTCCGCGCACTTAAGCACTACACCAAACTGGCGGAGAGAGGGCTAGCGACACTCGTAAGAACATAAGCCAATGTTGTATCACACAGTGGCCAAAAAAACCAGGTGCCATCAGGAGGTCCAGTAGTGGGGCCAGGACACTAGAAGCCCTCCCACTGTTGCCCCCCCCCCAAGCACCAAGAAGACAGAGCATCCCTTGCCCCAGACTGAGAGT